CATTTCTAACAAGCAACACGATGTTCGGAGAGATAAAAGATGTGCTGTGTGACTTGGAGACGAAGTGTTTCTTTTTCTGTTTCTCTGATCTGAAACCAGACACACGAGAGGCTACAGAATACACTCAATGTGCCTGACATCAAAATAACACATGGACGCTCTCAACCAAAGAAGAACAATAGGAGTATTTAATAGAAACAGCTTTTCACAATCACGGCTGCAACACTGGATTCTTCACAAAGCTTCATAAAGTCACAGAAAAATCTAATTTCACAGTAAAATGAGACTTAATCTGTGTTTCTGCTTTTTAGTCACAGTTTTATTTCCCTTTTTCATTCATTTTATTGTTGTTGTTTAAATTAAATATTCTTATTTTTATAAACAAAAAGAAAAGGGTGCCCAAGTCCAGGTTTTTTTAAGACGTGGCATGAAATAAATTGTGACTTGGCTTGGGATTCAAAGTGGTTTTCAAACTTTATTTCCATTGTGAAACAAGAGACTGCATAAAAACAGACAATCAAAGCAGAAAAATGACTTCTGCATTTGACAACACAACGATGATCATTTGAGTTAAATTCACATGGAAAACAGTGAAGAGAAATCGTGTATCAGCAGGAAAATAACGACATGTTTCTCAGGGAAAATATGTACACAACCAAATAACAACAAAACATTTAAAAACAAATGTGATTTCTGAATCAAAAACACACTGTTCAAGGTTTCAAGGTTTCAAGGTTCTTTATTTAGTCCACGTGTCAAACTCAAGGCCCGGGGGCTAAATCAGGCCCTTGGTGGATTTAATTTCGGCCCGCAGGATAATTTCTAATTACTATTAGATCTGGCCCGCCGGTATATTGCACGCACACCTTCACTCAATCCTGAGGGTTTCCTCAGCTCAGAGCCTGAGCCCAAACATTGATGAACTTGCACCCAAGATGAGATGCCAAGTATCTGGCTTGAACTAGCATCACAGAGCAGCACACTGAGTTTACATGGATGTTTCCTTCTGCACTTTCTTTCTCACGACAGCAGGGCATGTTTGGTTTGTTCTTTGAGGGAAATAGTTTTTTTGAAGCTGTTGTTGGCCTGTGGAGAAATGTAATCATAAGAAATGACTCTGGAAAAGCAGCAGATAGAGCCATAAGAAATGAATGCAACTGATTATTTAATGTTTCATGTTGTTTTTATAGGCAATAATTTAAGCTGTGTTAGTTCCAGGTTTAATATGTGCAATAAGTTCATTTCAATAAGTTTTGCAATAAACATTGAACCAGTCCGGCCCTCCACTAGTACCCATTTTTTTATTTTGGCCCACTGTGTATTTGAGTTTGACACCCCATCATACGAACATAGCTACAGAGTTATGCCGATGAACATCTTAGGTCACAGGCTCCTCCAACAGTGCAACACAATAACACAGATAAACAGACAAATATAGTGCAAGTAAATAGTACATTTCTCAATCCCTGCTGCAACAAGCATCTCAAATTTGCAGAAAAATGTACTGCACTCAGAATATTAAGACAGTAAAATCAGCACAAACTTGTAGTAGATACATTTTTTAAATCTTTTTCTAGGTTATTATTTCCTGGATTAAATTGTCACTTGTTGAAGTTGTGTTTTCCTCTGATAGGATGATAGGAGTTATGATGTGTGTGTCAGCGTCTCCGAGGCGTTGCTCTCTGAGCGGCTGCAGGCGTCTGATCTCTGAACGCTCCCATCAAACAGATTACAGACGGAAATACCTGACGCGCTGGCAGACAAAAGAGAGGGGAGGACGGAGGGAGTGAGTGTGCTCAGGCTGAAGACTTTATTTCCTGTGACGCTCTGAACCAATATTGTAATTTGTATTATAGTTTAATCATATTCTTGGTTGTTCTTTAGCGTTGAAGTGTCCCATGAAGGCCTTTACATCTTGAGAGAGGGTGTTTTTCTGGTCAAAATGTCAGTGGTGGGAGATGTAAGTAAGAGTACTAACACCACACTGAAAAAAAACTCTGTTACAAGTAAAAGTCCTGCATTTAAAATGTTATTTAGGTAAAAGAAAGTAAGTATAATCAGCAATATGTAGTTAAAGCTTTAAATGTAAAAGCACACAATGAAAAACAATCTAAAATAAAATGTAAAAAACCTTTTATAAATCAGATAAATCAGATGCCAATCTTTAAATCTGCTAATTGATTAATTGACGACGAAGCTGGTCTTCTATAATTTCATTTCATTTCATTTCACACCTTTATTTATTCAGGTTGTATCCCATTGAGATCATTGATCTCTTTTTCAAGGGAGACCTGCTCAAGTAGGTTCCACATGAAACATTAAAAACATAAACAGAACAACATAATAATAATAATTCCTTACATTTATTATAGCGCTTTTCCAGATGCTCAATGCGCTTTACAAATACACATTACATACATATCATACATGCAACGGTCATGTACTGTGGACAATACCCACAGGAGCAAATTCGGGTGAAGTGTCTTGTCCAAGGACACAACGGCTTTACAGACGCAGCAGCGGCGGGTTTCGAACTGGCGTTCCCCAACGCACAGCCCACTGCGTCACTCCGCCCATCTTCACACCTCGAAGTCATCAAGGCGCTTTACAAGTACACATCACACACATATCATACATGTAACGGTCATGTACTGTGGACAGTACCCACAGGAGCAAATTCCGGTGAAGTGTCTGAGGTCACAACGGCCTGACGCAGTGGCGGCGGGTTTCGAACTGGAGTTCCCCAACGCCACGCTTGATCTGATGATCAACGCACAGCCCACTGCGCCACTCCGTATAAACTCAGTGTTGGGAGATGTAAGTAAAAGTTCTAACACCACACTGAAGAAATACTCGGGTACATCCTGCGTTAGGTAAAAGACAGTAAGTATAATCAGCAACATGTAGTTAAAGCTTTAAACGTAAAAGCACACAATGAAAAAATAAATAAAATAAAATGTAAAAAACCCTAAAAATCATAAAAAATGACTCAAACAGATGCCAATCTTTAATCTGCTTATTGATTAATTGACGACGAAGCTGGTCTTGTCTAAACTGTTAGTTTCATTCAAACAAAACATACATGTGTATAATTCCTCAACACATAACCTAACGCCAAAACAAAAACTCTGGCTGAACTTTAAAGTCCCTTTTGGCTTCCTGTTGGACTTATCAGGAGGTCAGAAGGTCAGCTGGTCGTGACCTCTGACCCCGGGCTTCCTTGTTATTTCTCGTCTTTGTTTTGAAGTTGTTTGCTTCTGCTGCTGCACAACACTATGAGGGATGATTTGGCAACCTTTCAAATGATAAAACAACTACTTATTAAACTCACCGGTGCACTTATTTTGAGACGTACATTTTCAGAAATGGACAGCAATAATAATATGTTCAGATGCCTTCAATCATATTTTTTTAGATTTACAGAGAAGGATTTATTTTAGATGCATTGTGCTGCAACTAATGAAGAAGTTAGATAATGCCTTTCAACAGTTGTAATATATCCATATATATTTGTTCTCTGCAAATACTTATTCCAAAGTTTTCCCGACCGTTAACTGAGACTTTAAGCAGTTTATCCTCTGTGTGGCATTGTTCCTCCACAGCAGCTTAGCACAGAGTCGCTGTTTTTAACTGAAAACTGTAAATACTGTGACGTGAAATTGGTGTTACCGAATAAGTGTGTTGAAGTCGGACAGGTTGAGCAGAGCTACAATAACAGCAGGTGAGCTCTTGCTTTCACTGTGGACATTTTATAAAAGCTAAAAGCCTTAAACAGACACTTCACTCCACACCTGATATATTACCGTCACACCCAACAGGAGCGAGCACAGCTAAAATATCAGAAGTCAAAATGTTAGAAAAACAAGAAGACATTAACTCACAGTGCAGACAGCGTCTTTCAACTCACTCTAATGGGCTGTATGAATATAAAAGTGCTCCTGCAGTATTTGAGGCATGAGGGCTGTGAATACCTTTCTTCAGATGTAATCCTCCTGCATGAGGGCTGTCTGTCTGTCTGTCTGTCTGTCTGTCTGTGTGTGTGTGTGTGTGTGTATGTGTGTGTGTGTGTGTGTGTGTGTGTGTGTGTGTGTGTGTGTGTGTATGTGTGTGTGTGTGTATGTGTGTGTTTGTGCGAGCGTGCGTGCCTGCCTGTCTGTCTGTCTGTCTGTCTGTCTGTCTGTCTGTCTGTCTGTCTCTCTCTCTCTCTGACTGTGTGTGTGTGTGTGTGTGTGTGTGTGTGTGTGTGTGTGTGTGTGTGTGTGTGTGTGTGTGTGTGTGTGTGTGTGTGTGTGTGTGTGTGTGTGTGTGTGTGTGTGTGTGTGTGTGTGTGTGTGTGTGTGTGTGTGTGTGTGTGTGTGTGTGTGTGTGTGTGTGTGGTGTGTGTGTGTGTGTGTGTGTGTGTGTGTGTGTGTGTGTGTGTGGTGTGTGTGTGTGTGTGTGTGTGTCTGTCTGTCTGTCTGTCTGTCTGTCTGTCTGTCTGTCTGTCTGTCTGTCTGTCTGTCTGTCTGTCTGTCTGTCTGTCTGTCTGTCTGTCTGTCTGTCTGTCTGTCTGTCTGTCTGTCTGTCTGTCTGTCTGTCTGTCTGTCTGTCTGTCTGTCTGTCTGTCTGTCTGTCTGTCTGTCTGTGTTCATAATACTATAGTTTCTTTATTCACATGTCTTCTACACCTTCTGATGTGTAAGTGGTATGATTATGACTAAGTTAGGATGTGGATATCAAATACATGTTAAAGAATGGCTAAGCAGTGTATTTGACCAATGCATAGTGTTAATGTTACCTTTTCTGGCTTGCTTGCTTCAGTGGATAAAATCTACGAGACAAAATGACCGGCTCTTACTACAAATGAAAGGCTGTTTTTTTATTTATTTTAGTCTTACTTAAAAATTGGCAAAGAATTTCGATAGTAAAGCGCTACAGTCAAAACATGTGAAAGCCTGACACTAACACACAGTTCTCGTTGTATTTTATTACTTAGAAGTTTTGTTGTTCTTGTTTTTCAGAGCTGAAGGAGTTGGAGTCCAGCCTCACGTAGATACTCTCTACAGGTTCATCTGAAAATGTTTCTTCAGTTTCTGGATCACAGTCATGACAGCCAACAGTGAGGAGGTCAAAGGTCAGTGTGCTTGTTTTATTCATCAGTGCAGCCCAGTCTCAGCTCAGGGTTTGTGACTCAGGAACAAAACCGATGTGAACGACTGAAGTCTGTCACACTTCCAAAAATAAAATCAGACGCTCTGTCTGAGGCTTAAAGAATGATTTCCCTAATATACACATATACATTTTGATATGTGAGGGAAAGCTTTATTTTTTACTTTTTTTGTTTTTTTTATGTTTCATTTGAAACATAATGCCCTTATCCATCAGTATCCATGTTCAATTCTGACTCAGTAAAGATGCAATCATAAAATCTGTTTTGGTTTTTACTGTATAAGAAAGACATCACGTATTCTGAAACTCAGCAATAAAACGTGAAACATTTGAAAAATAACCCCTTAAAGGACTTCTAGTAGTTACCTATCAGTGTATAGATGAGACGCATCCGGGTACTTTCCCTCTACGCAAGACCACGCCCCTTTTGGGTGAAAACCAGAGGTGGGATGTAGTGGAGTACAAATACTTCGTTACTGTACTTAAGTACATTTTTCTGGTATCAGTACTTTACTCCACTACTTATTTTTCTGACAACTTTTTACTTTGACTTCTTACATTTTGAACACAAACACCTGAACTTTCTACTTCTTACATTTTGAACACAAACACCTGTACTTTCTACTTCTTACATTTTGAACACTAATACCTGTACTTTCTACTTCTTACATGTTGAACACAAATACCTGTACTTTCTACTTCTTACATTTTGAACCCAAATACCTGTACTTTCTACTTCTTACATTTTGAACACAAATACCTGTACTTTCTACTTCTTACATGTTGAACCCAAATACCTGTACTTTCTACTTCTTACATTTTGAACACAAACACCTGTACTTTCTACTTCTTACATTTTGAACACAAATACCTGTACTTTCTACTTCTTACATTTTGAACCCAAATACCTGTACTTTCTACTTCTTACATTTTGAACACAAATACCTGTACTTTCTACTTCTTACATGTTGAACCCAAATACCTGTACTTTCTACTTCTCACATTTCCCAAACAGGCTGGTTCCTTTAGTTTGAATGTGTGTTTGGTGGCGTGATCATTATTATTTAGAGTCATTGCGTGCCTATTGATTTGAACACGATCCGTGTATCCATCATTTCCTGGTCTTCTCTAAAGAAGAGGGACCAATGAAAACGTTGTCATGTTGCCGTTGTTCAGCATGGAAACATTCATTAGCTAACAATGACATTATTGTTCTATTAATATAAAGGGAGGTCAGGTACTCTTTAAAACAGCTGCTAGCTATGGGTACTTTTTACTGAAGTACATTTCAAAGCCCTCTTTACTTTTACTTGAGTAAAGAAGTTTAGTCAGTAGTTCTACTTTTACCAGAGTATTTTTAAACACGAGTATCTGTACTTCTACTTGAGTAAAGGATGTGTGTACTTTTGCCATCTCTGGTGAAAACACTCGCTGTCATTTGAATGGCTGTAAATACAGATTCTGATTTCGGCAATCACATCAGAAAATGAATACCGCGCCTTTTTCAATCTACAAGGAGCCCAGTTATGATGGTCTGACCGGCAAACTATTAAACAAATTCTAATTCCAGACGAGGGAACAGGAAGTGTTTACAGGAGGAAACAAGGCTTACTTTAGAGGTGCTTTTGGATTTTGCTCTCTTTGCACTCATAGTAAATAATAATAATAATACATTTGATTTAAGGTGCCTTTCATGACACCCAAGGACACCGTACAATTTGTTAAATATTCTAAGAGGTAAAAGCAACAGAACATGATAAAAACACCAACCATCATGGAGAAGACAATTAAAGTAAGTAAGTCTCTTTGGATAAAAGCCTGAGCTAAATGTAATGTGATGAACCTTCAGACTCTTTACCATCAGCTACCCGTCTGCCGATGGTTTAATACTCAGAAGAGCCGCCATGACAGGTCAATCTTCTCACTAACCTTTGGGGGAAATGGAAAACGAGGATTTACTGAGAACAGTTGGGTTCACACCAAAACTTACCAGCATCTCTACCCCCCGCTGCTCTCTGATAATCATCTGATAGAGATTTAGCCTCACCTTCCACCTCAAATGTTCCCGTTTTTAAAGATTTTTCCATCCCTGCTGCGACATAGACAGCAACACATCAGGAAATGGAGCACAGAAATACCCATGGTCTGAATCTATACCGAAATTGAAAAAAACTGTTGCTCCGAGATGACGTTCTGTAAAGGCAAAACGACGCTATAGAAACCTGTGGGTAATTACAGCTAAAAATACTGTGTGTGTTTGCATACACTGAAACACTGTTGAGGCCATTTGGAGCGTAGACATCTTCGTTTACTGGGGGAAGTTGATAACCACTGAAAGAACAGCTGCACCATTAAATATATGCAGGTTTTCCTGATTTTATAACCACTATATTGCCTAAAAAGATAATATATTTGTTTCTACTTGGTGTAAATTAGGGTTAGGGTTAGGCATGTGTTGG